GTCAGTCACCTGGACAACACGATACGTCACCTGCACAGACGAAAAACAAATTTGGGTAAAAAGAGAGAATAAGAAGAAAACAAAGAGAGCAACTAGTTGCTTCCCCATTTATATCCTTACTCTATGTATTTTTTTTTTTGCATTATTCAATCATACCGTGTATAAAACAGCACCTTACCTGACTTGTTGATTTGTTTATCATATCTGTTGCTTCCGTACTGCTCAGCCTAGTATCCTGACACTACAGTTCTAACCTCACTTGTGCATTGATCTCACCATCCCACAATATGCTTACGCTTCAGAATGCGCCTGATTTAATTTTAAATAGCAAGGAAAATGAGCTTGTTTGTTCGAAGAATCAGTATTTGTATCCCTCTATCATGTGACTTTCCTCCTGACTGACATGTGACAGCAGTCTCATGCCAATCCCAGACCAGACTGAAATCACATGATTGCTCACACTAGTCTTGTTTATGCCTGAACCACATGGATCACTGACTCAATTTCCTCCAGCGCAAACCACCCAGTAAGGGTAAACCAACATGAATGTCACAATACCTTTTTTTAGTGTATATGCTGGCATTACTGACCCATTGTTTACCACTGACCAACAGTGGTGTGAAAACCACATAGTGAACAGGAAGGAGACACTTTTGTACAAAGGTCAACAGTCAATTTTGAGGCTATAAAAAAAAAAAGACTATAAACATTGATACCTTCAGGGAATTTACTGAGTGCTTTCCTCCTGACTTTGTAATAGAGGAGGGTGTCAAAGCACACAGAAAAAGAAAAACAATCAGAAAAAAAGAAAATGTAAGCCTAAACATTAAGGACTGTCGTCGGGAGTATGGTTCTTCAACATATATAATCACTCACTGTTGTTTGCCATATGTCCAAGCATCTTTTCAACCACCTCCATCAATATGCAGCTGAGAGTTCTCAGTTGGTAATTATCGTGCTGCACAAACACCCCATGGACATTTATCCACTCTGTGCTGTTTGTGTACTCTCATAAGTGCTAAACAGAGGCAATTTATTCTAACTGTCTAGGCCCTTATGCAATTAGGAACACTTAGACGCTTTCTGAAATGGGTATTAAACAGCAACAATCAGTAGTGTCCACACTTCCATCAACTAACTACTTACCTGCCCACCCTCGGTGCGGAACTGATATTGTATGTTATGGTCACCAAATGCAGCCTGAGGTACACTGGCTATTGTAACAGCTGTCTGCTCTTCTCCTGTTCCGTCTTCAAGGGAAAAGGGGGATAAAGAAACAGGAGTTAGAATGGAAAAAGTAACTAAACAGCTAACAAGCCCCGAGTGTAGCTGCAAATAACGAAGCTCAATGTTGCAGCACATAAAGAAAAGCAAGTGTACTGAGGAAAGAGCTTGTGGCTTTTTTTTTTTAAAATAAAGTATTGTGTACGCACACAAAACTACAGTGTGATCAAAGACAGCTTAGTAAATAAATCCTTACCTTCAGATCCCTGGACAACCTCCTCTTCTTGTTTTTCTTGGCTGCAAAGCGGATACAGAAATACCTCAGTTGTTAGAAGCTACGCAACCAGCTAATGTTTGTGAAAATTATATATCAATGTATTAAATGAAAGTAATAACTGACCCTCCACTTCACCGTAAGGGGTGGCAAGTGATGTCTGGGAAGTCAGTCAGCCAGCAGGACAATTATAATGAAAAACACAGCACAGCAACTGCCCTTGGTTTACCAAGAGTGGCTGAGAATAGTTATTTGTTTTAAAAGCTAGCTTAAGCTCTCTTAGCTGTTGACTATGAACACTACTATTCTTGGATATAACCAAGTTATACCGCTTAAAGAGTTGTCCACCTGTGTTGCTAACTTAGCTGTAGTCTACACATTAAATTCGTTTTGACAACACTTTATAAGTAAGGCCTTGGTTAGCGTCGTAAACTAGCTGTGTGAAATAGCATGTTGCGGCTAGCTTCTTTCAGTTAGCCATTTTGACCGAGTTACCTTGCGGTGTCCAGACTCTGTTCAAGCATATCCATCAGTGTTGAAATAAAAAGTGATATTCGGTGTCACAGACGGAGATGGAAGTGCTGATCACGGGAACAAACACTCGGGTCATGTGAGAGAGACAGCCCAGGACACGTGAGGTACGGCTCGGTGTCGAAGTTAAAATGGAGGCCGCTGCTGCTGTCGCTGGGTGATCCGAGGTAACTCCTCTCGATCAGCTGTCGCGCCGGAGGGATTTGCTGCTTGCCGGGGACCACAGTCTCCGCGGTCGATAACGTTTCGCTACGGTTTCTCACCCCACCGGTGACCATAAAAGTGCGAATTAACATCAGCTAGAGCGTGGGGAAGACACTGAGTGTTGCAAACCAATTAAAATGCAAACAAAAAGCTTCTCTGTCGGTGACCTGGGAGTAACGAACAGGCTCCACAAGTAACTTATGCACGTAGCTTTTTAAAAAATTATTATTAATGCGCGAGAGAGTGGCACGATGTTCTGGCTCAGATCTGAATCGGCAAGGTATTAATGCCACATTGTTATTATTTATGAGCGCATTAGTCTTCGTTAACACCAAGACTTGCGTACAAAGTGGCATTTAAGTGTATTCTAATAACAAAAAACAAAATAAACTTAGAAGATTATTTCAAACTATTCTTTTATTTTTGCCTCCACGATTTTACTATCTATTGCGGGCCAAAAGAAGAAAAACAAAACAAACTGAAGGCGAAAGAAAGAAAGTAAAGCAAAACAAGTGTGCTAATAACACATTTTCAGTGAACACTGGACATTATACATATTAACCCCCTAAGAAACGAAATCTTTCATGGCATGCATTTTACTTTATCTTTGCTATTTGGGCTGATTGGGACCTGATGAATGTAGAAACAAAGAATTACGTGATTTTTTTTATACCTGATTTTTGTTTCTGAGAAAAATAAGATCCACATATGAGGACATTCGTTTTAAATTTCGATAGAACAGTGGCAAGTATAATGTCCTTGTAAGTGGATATCAGGCCCTTGAAGAGCCAAATTTTGTATTTTGGTAGACAACCCAAAAATGTGATGTCCATATGTAGGAGGCTAAAACAGTTGAATATTTTGTCTGTGTGTGTTTTTTTTTTCTAACTTTTTAACTCAACCTGATACACGATAAACTTACAACTGGCACACATATTTCTTCCTTCTTCTGCTCCCTTTAGAGGTGCCCACAGCAGACCCTACTTCTCACCCTATCTGTAGCCTCCTTTTCTTCCACACTACCCTATGCATATCCTCCTTAACTCCATGAACCTCCTCCGTAGTCTTCCTCTTTTCCAACAGCCTGGCAGCTCTATCTTCAGCATCCTAGTGCAATGCATGGACTATCCCTCCTCTTCACATGTCCAAACCATCTCAGCCATGTCTCTCTAACCTTGTGTCTAAAACCGCTCAACCTGAGCTGTCCCTCTGATGTACACATTTCTAATCCTGTTCATTTTGGTCACTCCCAATGTAAATATTTGCATCTTAAGCTCTGTCTCCTGTCTTTTTGCCAGTGCTACCATCTCCAAACTATACATTTTACTTTTAAATTTTCACTCTTGCTACTATCCTTCTGTCACTAATCACCATTATGTTATTTATACGTTATACATACGTTATACATGTTATACATACTTACAGCTGTACACACATAATACACATACAGAGAAATGTAGCCATTTATAAGAGACAAAGCAGGAGCTAGATTTTCTCTAAATGCAAAGGGGGATCAGTGAACTCACCATCCACTAGGACAGATGAGCACATATCCTCAACACATTTCCATTTGTTTTGCAGCTTTCTTGTAGGGTCATGCTTTAAAACCAAATGCACAAGCTGATGAATGATCTTTCTTGGTGTCAGACAGACATGAGAAGTACCTCCCAAAGTCTGACCTGCATAGGCCTATCCACTCAGTGTCCTCCTGGTTAACATGATTGCCGTAGAATTACTAAACTGCCGTGAACTGAATAATTAAATTGAGTTTGCAATGCAATAATTTACTGATGGTACTGGTCTTTATGTTTTTCATTACCAAATTGTATAAATTCAAGTTTATTAGCAGAATTTAACTGAGGTGGCATAGTGGCTTTAGTGGGCAGGCCTGGACCCCCAAGGCTTATCCATAATGCCAATACTGGGTTTACCCTAGGTATTTAAACTCAACCAACTTCACTGTTATGCCTGTTTTCCTCCTATTCACACGCATATTATATCTCAGTTCTATAAACGTTCACTCCTCTTCTCTTGAGAACAGACCTTCACCTCTCCAGGCTCTCTTCCACCTGCTCCTTACTCTCTCACAATTTTATCATTAAGACTATAATGTTATAGTCCACTGAGACTCTTGCTTGACCTCATCTGTCTGGCCATCGTTCCCTTCCACCTGGTCTCCTCTAAACGCAATATATCTACCTTCCTTCGCTTCATTATTATCAGCCAGCTCTTTCGCTTTCACAATCACACACTCATTCCTGCCTATCTTTCTCTCTTGTTGGCTCTGAACATGCCTTCCCCTCTCCTGTTTCTTTGTCTCCGGCCACTAGTAGCACAGTTTCTATTGGCACCTTGATGGCAACCTGCATGTAAATAGCATTCTTAATGGTCCGCATGCTTGATTTGGTAAAACTTTATGTTGAATGACCTTTTTGATCTAACCCAACCCATTTAGCCAGGGACTGGCACTAGGAGTACACTGACTTATCGTCTATCAGGTGGAGTTAAAACGTTTTTTGATACTCAATATGATTGTCATTATGTCACTCTGTTATTCGTGACCTTTGCCCCATATAAGCGGAACTCTTCTTCTCTGGGTTTTGTTTATTACATAGATATGTGGGGCACCGTGTGATTCGTATGTGGTTCATCGTAATTCACTCATTTTAACCAAGTTGATCAATAAGATATTCATTACGATAGTAATGGAAGTGATATAAGTGTCATTCAGCAACAATCGCAGTAAGTTCGAACTGTTATTCAATCAACGAAATTGCGGCTACCGGCGACTTTTTGTTGAGTTTAGCAACCAACTTACACACGACAGCCAATCGTAACCTACAACGCTGGATAATGCCAACATTTCATTGGCTAGAGTGGGGGGCGGTCACTTTAGTCTCTCCTCTGGTTTCACCCTGAAATAATTCCGACTGCTTCTTCAGTGAAGGTTCATTGCGGTGACTGTGTAGCGCTAGCTGTCTGTTATATTTAAACGTTTCAGCTACAATGTCTGGCCGTGTTCTCGTCGGAGTTAAGCGTGTCATTGACTATGCAGTTAAGGTAATATCTTAGGTCAAATTACCTATTTTCTTTCGCGATTTTAAAGGTATTTTTCTTTGCTCACTTATTTGACATTCTGTGCTCTGCTAGCTAATGTTAGCCTAAAATCGTCAGTTGGTTGTGGAATCAAGAGCAACACCACACCACTGATTGGTCATATTATTTTGACAGATAAGTTGTTTGTCTCTTGCCAAATTCATGTATTCATTTATTTAATGCACAATACTGAGAAGCTGAGTTTGTGTTTAGCAGGGCAGCAAACGACTTCTTGCAAGTTGTATAACATGTCTGTTTGAACCTCTGGCATAACTTCCATGCAAACTGGGCAGTGACTTTCCCAAATTTTAAAGTAGTTTGTAAGCCAGGCGTGTATGTTGCAGGAACAGTTATTCAAATGGGAATATTTTTCACTTTTTAACATTACCCTTCAGTTGAGGTACAGCACCATAATCAATAAGCAATACTAGCTGGTGTATGTTGCAGCAAGAACAGTCCTGCCTGAGCTGCTCTCAGCAGGATCCGCACAGTGTTAAAGCGACTATGATTACTATATCTTCAGCGGTCTGATAGGAAGAGGTCAGTACTTTCAGAGCATTGGCTTTATTTATTTTTTTCCCATTTTAAATTGTGTGCAGTTTGGGGAAATGCCCACGCGTGCTTGCAATGTCAGATTAAGTGTTCTGATGTTATTTTATATTTTATCACTCGTGTTTTATATGACTGACTGATTACTGCAAGAATTGAATTTTTAACTGGTAAGTGTTCTGTATAAGTGAAGTTGCCTTATATTGACTTTATGGCAGGGTCCATTCACAGAAATGTTAAAGCCACTAGGTTTTTCTTTTTTTTTTTTATTAATGTTTTAATTTTAATTTTAATTTAATTTAATGTTTTTTATTGTCATACAATGACAATAAAAAAAATCATTAATATACTGCAAATATCCTGGCCACAATTGTGGAAGACCTTTTCCTCAACACCCTGCCCAGTCCCTTGAGATGTATATACTTTTTCTCAATTTGGCATGGAAGTCGCAGCAGCTCCAAAGCAAGGCCTTATTGCCCAGTGCCAGCAACAGTGCTACCTTTGTGACTTTCCAAAAGAGTAGAAGTGATTATAGTAGCACATCAATGCCAGTGGTGTCAGAATTGGTTATTTCAGACCAATTTTTAAAAAAGATAAGATTAGTTAAAGGTTTTCTGCCAGTTAGATTAAATCTGTTTAAATATCCATCACTAGATGTATTTACCTTTTTAACACCTTGTATTGGTTCGGTTCATTTCTAAGCTTCTGTCATTGTGTTTGACAGGTTTCTTTAATTTAGCTCCTCTGTAGTGACCCCGTGTTATTGTTTTGTTTCTCCACAGATCCGTGTGAAGCCAGACAACACTGGCGTGGTGACAGATGGCGTTAAGCACTCAATGAACCCCTTCTGTGAGATTGCTGTAGAGGAGGCGGTCAAGCTGAAGGAGAAGAAGCTTATTAAGGAGGTTGTGGCTGTCAGCTGTGGGCCACAGCAGTCGCAGGTGAATGAGCTGGGGCGAGACAGTAATTTAGCAAGTTAACTGCTTTTTGGAGTTTTTTGGAGCTGCTGCAAGTTGAGATGGATAGATAGATAGATATCTATCTACTTTTTTTTTTTCAGGTGTATTATTTTACATGTAAAAGAACTTTTGAAATCCCATGCATATAACCTGTCAGACTCACAGTAAACAGAAAGTGATTATTATGATGTTAACATAAATGTACTTTTAATATGTTTAAGGTTATCAACGATTATAATTTCAGGGTTTTCATCAAACATCAAGCCAAAGAAAAGTTCTCTTACATGTGTTTTTTCTAACTCAGGAGACCATCCGTACTGCCCTTGCCATGGGGGCTGACCGTGGCATTCATGTGGATGTGAGTGGGAAAGACTATGAAAACCTGGGACCCCTTCAGGTCTCTAAGATCCTGGCAGCTCTTGCCAAACAGGAGGATGCTCAGCTTATTCTCCTTGGCAAACAGGTTAAAGATTTCAGTTTATTTTCCTCACACTCTCTCAAATTGCATTCTTAGTTTGCGTACTCTAAAGAATACTTGCACTGCTGTTAAGTAATTAAGGACTTGTGTTTATTTCATAGGCCATCGATGATGATTGCAATCAGACTGGCCAGATGACAGCAGCTTTACTGGACTGGCCTCAGGTAAGACTACCTTAAATAGTAGCACTGAGATATTTGACCCCATAATTATGTAGGTATCAGTTTATTTTCTTTCTTTTCTTTTTTTGTAGATTTTCTGTTTCTTCGTGGGTGTTGTATAGCAGTAATGATAAGAGGATATGTTCCTGTTCCCAATAGCCTTCACTAACCTTATCAAAGTTGGTAAACACTAGTTTGCGTCAGTAAGATCCACAGTAGTCCTGCACATATCAACAAATCCAAAGTCAAAGGCTGCCTGGATAGATGGAGTGAAGTTCTCCTTTGGCTGGTTAAAATGGAGCATTTTAATCTTATTTACAGTGTCCAGGTTGGGCACTTGGATAGACAGACATTGTAATGTAAATGTCAAAAATTGTTTATAAATTTGGGTTACATACATTACTCCTGTAGTCAAGATTATTTGTAGTTGTAGTTACACTAGCAAACCAGCAGATGGCATTAACTGAGTCCCATATAATGGGTAGCAGATGAAAATAGAGGAACAGTTCCCAGGGGAGATCCTACTGTGAATTTTTTTTAATGTATTTATTTTGTGAAATTATACGTATCTTCACATTGCAGGGTACCTTTGCATCAGAGGTGTCCTTGGAGGGAGACAAGATTAATTTGGTCAGAGAAATCGATGGTGGTCTGGAACATATTAAGATCAACACACCAGCAGTGATCACTGCAGACCTTCGACTCAACACCCCCAGATATGCCACGCTGCCTAATATCATGGTAAGCAGCTGAAATGATGTTCAGAAACGAAAGATGCTAAAAAGTCATTAAGATCATGTTGCTGATTTCTGGGACAAGATTAGAGATGGGTTCTGACTGTAATTGCTGGGTTTACCTTTAAGACCTAACCTGCTATAAAGTAGTTAAAAAGAAGAGTAATTATTTTATTCACCCTTTGTGCATAACTTGTTTCAGAAAGCCAAGAAGAAGAAGATTGTTACTGTGAAGCCTGCAGACTTGGGGGTGGACGTGACTTCACGGTTGGAGGTGTTGAAAGTGGAGGAGCCTCCACAGAGGCAGGCAGGGATGAAGGTGGAGACAGTGGAAGACCTAGTGGTCAAACTGAAAGAGGCAGGGAGGGTATAGAGGCTTAAGCATATAAGCTGGGAGTGCAGAACCTAACAGAGGTGAGTATCAGTGAATTAATAGTTTTCATCAGAAAGTTGAGCAAAAAGTTACATTTTTAAAGACATCAGGGTCATTTTCTCTGGCATGACTAAGCACCTTCTAGCTCACCTGCTATTTTCATTTTCTTTCCCCTTGCCAGTGTGCCTCAGCAACGTATGCTAGATCTTCTCGGCTGGTGATCCCATGTATTAGTATTAATAGGTTTCATGCATTTATGACCTTTCCACCTGTATCTATATCTTAAAAATCCCACAATTATATTTCTGTGCAAACTCTAAACTATATTTGTTTGAAAAAGGTTTTGATTTTTTTTTATATCAAGTAATTATAACAGGCCTTTTTTACAAAAAGAGATTAATAGAGTATTTTTAATTTTAAGGTATTCTGGGAAAAGGAACAATGCATCATTAATGAATTGGTAAAAGAAAATTGCATACCACAAATTAATTATCCACAATAGACCTATATCTACCTCTTGATTACAACTTTTTAAGAGTGCAGTAAAATTAACTCTTGTGATGAATGATAAAATTGTTTGTGTAGACCATTATTATCCTTTTTTATAACAATCTCATCTCATTTTGAGGGGGAAAAAAAGTCACATTTATTTTGTTATGGCAAATGATATTGTGTGTCTTGTGGCTATTAAAGAAAAAGTAATTAAAGATGCTAATTGCTACTCTTGTCTTGAATTACTTATCTATGTTATTTTCTCTCCTTGCAGGACTCTCTAATGAATAACGAGACTGAACTACATAAGCCCAACCACAGGACAAGCTTATGTGTTGGTCTAATCCCTCTGTTTGAAACTGTGGCTCCTGAGGATATGCAGGGAGGTACTGATAGAAGTGGAAAAATATTGAGACACACTGTCCTGCAGTCAGACAAGCCCAAAAGAATCATCTTGTCTTGTGTATGCATTTGAACTTGCAGAGTAGTTCATTTGTTTCATTATATCACAATGCTATAAAAAGCGGTGTTTATGCAGTAATTTAAAACCCAGAATCTTCCCATCACTCATGTTGCTGTTTGTATTGAACTGTACCCAAACTTCACCAGTTTGATGCATTTCAGCTGCTTCATCCTCATCTGTTAATTCTTGTATATCTGTAGTCAGACATGTTAAGAGGTGCAATTTTTGTAAATGACGTATGTAAATACAGAACCACCCAACATGTTGATTTGAAGATGTCTGCTAGCATTAATATCTTGACTACTGTGACTGAGTTCAAGGATTGACTAGACGGTGTCTCTCAGTATGAGCAGGGGAATGTGATTCTAAATTGGAATTTTACCGTAAGCGCCTAAGTTCTTTTTTGATTGTACAGAACATCACAATAACAATAAAGCAGCCAGTCTTTTTCATATCTACAGCTGTGTCTGGTCTCTTGGCGTTTCCTTTGAGTTTACAGTAGTTTCATTTTATCCTTTAAATTTAGTCTGCAAGGCATTTTTTAAAACCTGTGAAATGGCAGCAGTTTTTTTTTAATTTTATTTTTAATTCTGATGTTCATTTTGTACGCAGAGTATTAGTGACACAAAAAATATTGTTTGTTTTGAAATTTTGAGATTAAACTTGAAATGCTAAATATTAATGCTAAATACTGTTTTACTAGTTATAGTCCAAAATGTGTTGCTCAGATCTCTTATCGTGCCTTATTTACCACCATATTGTATTTATGTGGTAAAAGACAAATAATTTCCAAGTTACCAAAACTGATTCCTAAGTATGATTTTTTTTTTTTCTCTCTTCTTTTTTTTTCTTTTTCTTTTTTTCTCCTCTAACCTGTCTACAAAAGGCATTTTGTAAAGGGTATAGTGGTATAGTACCTGTGTAGGTTTTTGACTTAAAACAACAGGTTTAATCTCAAACTAGTGTTTCGAGTTTAATCTTAAGTGTGGTCCTAATACTTGTTTTTTTTTGTTTTGTTTTTTTTTGTTTTTTTAAGACTAGTAAAAGCGTGATTCTTAGGTCATGTGTCTGTAATGTATTATTAGAGCACCTGTGAAAAGAAAAATGGAATCCAGGTTTCAGAAGACGTTCCAACATTGTTTGCTTAGAATAAAACAGCAAAAACTGCCTCCTCCTTTACAAAAATAAGAATAAACTGAGAAATTGTAAAAGTAACCTGCAAATAAACCTTGAAAATGTGTTTTCTTTTGGGTTTTTTTACACTTTACAGCACAATTTCAAAATATAACCTAGTTATTGTAGTACTTTATTACAGATTTATTGTTTTGATATACTCAATTGATTGATTTATTCCAAACTACAAATGTCACCTTTTTTATGTTTTGGTCTCCATACAAAAAGCCTGGTGTTTTTTAGCACATAGGTATGTGATTGAAAACTGGGTACTGTATGAACATGGGCATGGACAGGCAGGCCTCTTGACTTTCCCATATTAGCATACGTCATTGACTGCTAAGATGAGGGTACCGGAACTATGGTGACGCAGGTAAAGTTGTTACTTAAACGTTCTCTCCACCTCTTCTTTAGTTAATATACATGGTATATTTATACCAGTTGTATTAAGGAAATGTTGATATGTTATTTTATCAGCAAGCAGATACAAATAAAGGGGCTGTTGTGTGTAATTACGTAAGGGGCGTGGCCTCACATGCACAATCCGAGTTGGTACAGGTGGGATACTCACGCGCCTGGCTGTCCGCTGGAGCTTCCGCTGATGCAGAAGTTAGCGCTTTAGGACTTTACAAGACGTTTTTGTTTTTCGTCTCTGCTTTTATACTGGAAATGCAAACGGTTGCTTCTAATAACAAGCGTGCTTAAAGTTTTACAAAAAATGCCTTGTGTAAAGGAATTCAAGAGATTAAGCTCGTTGTTTCTGGCCATTTTATCATTTTTTACTTTCCAAGGTGAGAATAAAGCGTAGTTACGCCTTATGACACTTATCTGTGTGATTTTGTTTGTTAGTATTAGAAATTTTTGTGTCATTTTTAGGGTTAGAAAAAGAGGGCTTTGTTGTGCGTTTCTGTACGACAGCATTGTTCCTGATTGTAAGATTAAACGACAGTAATTCTGTTTAATTGGCATTATTTTGATGTTAGCAGACTTATTGCGTGACCTTGCAATTTCCTTTCTAATTCAGTTACTTGGCTACATCCTCACAGGTGCCCGCTGTGAACTGCTGGTTTCTCCTGCTGGTCCCAGTCTGGTGAATGCTTTAGCTGGCGAAAACGTGACTCTGGCTGTGTCCTTCAGTGGTGCCCCTGACCCAGTTGTTAGTTGGTTTAAGGGGGTTTTAAATATTGCTACATGGACTATAAACTCCAGTGCTGATCCACCTGTAGCTGCAACTTTCAGTAGTGTAATCAGGATAGACAAACAAAGTGCAAATCTCACCTTTTTTAATGTTCCACTTAACTACACCAGTGACTACACCATCGAAATGGTTAAATCTGGAATGAGTAAAGCCTCAACTACTTTCACTCTTAAAATATTTGGTGAGTGGGCATATCTGGCTGGAAGACGTGCTGTTGTTGATGGCTTAGATAAAATGTTAAATATAACTCTTTAAATATTAAACAACTGTTTAAATATTTGAGACAAACCATAAATGAAAATTAAAAAATGAAATCTGACATTTGAGAAGTTATGCAGTTTATCTTTTATATGTACCTGCCGTCTTAATAAGGCTGATGCATTAGAAAGGAAAGGCAGTACACTAGAGTAGATATATTCATCTAGTGGTTCTTCTTTCCTTTCATGTTTTTATTTACAGAATACATCCAGAGCTTGACTCTGAGCTCACAGCCGGGTCTTATCAAAGAGGGAACTGAGAACTTCACCCTGCAGCATAGCATGCTCCAAGGAGTGTTTGAGCAACAAATGTGGTTCTTCAATGGCATTGAAATAAAAAACAGCTCACGCTATTTAGTGAAGACACAGGCAAATAGTCTTGTGATCCTCAGGCCAAACCGAAATGACACAGGAGAGTACGCTGTGTTACTGACAAACCCCTTCAGAAATGCAACGGCATCTCAAAATGTCTCTGTGCAGTGTAAGTTTAACAGTTTAAAAGTTTTACAGTTTTAAAGTCTTCTTTATTTATATACGTATAAGTTTCTTTATTTATATCCCTGTTTTCTTATAACTCTCTATGGTGTGTTATAGATGGACCTGATGAGCCTACACTTGAGGCCCATCCACTTCAGACTTTTTATTTAGCAGGAGACTCTTTGAACCTCTCCTGTCAGGCTAATGGATTCCCACAGCCAATCTCTGAGTGGGTCTTTGGTGGGAATATCATTTCCCTAAAAGGAGTCCTGAATCTAACAAATGTACAAACCAGTCAAGGAGGTGTTTACACATGCAGGCTGGTCAATGAAGATACAAAAGAAAGCCGCCAAAAGAACATGACCTTAACTGTTTATGGTATGTGGAAAAGTAGACATTTTATCTTTTAGGTCATGTTTTTGTGAAATTGTTCTCAATTTGGATTGAAAATTATAGTTTAGTTTGTCATGGTTTGCTGTACATAGAACATAGTGCTCATCTAATGCTGTTTATATTTAGAATTTATTTAGAAATTTTTCATTTCTAAATAAAATATTTAAACGTGTACCCAGACATTAATAACAGATTCATTTTATCTTGGGACAGAGCGGCCAGTGGGCAATCCTGAGTGCTCGGTGCAGTCAGTGAATGCCATCAATCTGCAGTATCACTGTGAATGGGTAGGGGGAACCCCACAGGCCCAGCTGTCTTTTCCAGAGCTAAGCAACTCCAGCAGTGGAGCAGGGAACTTCAGCTTAACCGTCAATGCATCAGATAATCTAAATGGGAAAACAATCCAGTGCATGGCAGAACACCCGGTTGAACATAATAAGTGCAATATCACTGCAAGCAAGTTTTAAATTTTTAACTCATAACAAATCCACATAATGTATGCATAATGTGTTCTATTGACTTTGGCAGTCGAGTCTAAACAGGCACCTTGTGTTCTCCAGGTGGTCCTGTAGCATTCCTTCCAATTATGAGAACCACAGTTGACTCTGGGGGCAAAATAGTGGTGACAGTCCGCTGTTTCAGTGAGGTATCGCCTAAAGCTGTTGTGTCATGGTTCAGTAGCAATGAGACTGTCACCAACGGGTCCACATACCAGATCAGCAGCAACACCTCACAGCTTATGATTCGTCATTACAATGTCAGCAACTTTCTTCTCCAAAACTACACCTGCACATGCAGGAACCCTCTGGGCAGCAAGAAAAGAGAAATTCAGCTACAAGGTATAACTCACTTGTTCAATTTAATTTTATAGAGAAATATATTTTTTACAGTACCATGTTTAACAGGTGATGGAAGTTACTAGTTAAAATAAATTGTTAAAAAAAGGGTTGATTACTCAGATCTTTAAATGTACCTGTCTGACTATGTAATAACACTGGCAATTAAAAGTAATAGTCGACATTCACATCTACTAGGTAGATAAAAGTATAAAATTGTATTCAGAAAAACCTATGTAAAACAGTAAAGGAAACATTAGTCAGATGAGTGAAATTGTAAGGACATAAATCTTCAGCTGGTTTTATAATTAAAATAACTAACAAAAATAACCAACAGTTTCTTGTTTTCTCAGTTCTGAGGCAGTAATGTTTAGAAAGCAGTTTGAGCTTTGAAATCAAAGTTGAGAAAGTGGTATCAAAGTAATTATTATTTGCAGATCCACTTAAAAATAAAATATTTAAACATATTTTGACATTTTTGTGTCGACTCTAAAGTTAAATATTTGCCATTAAAATGTAAGGATTCTGTTGCTTTGGAGTACTGCTCGCATTGCTTGAAACAAAGGCACAATGGGCCCTCAGAAACAGAGCTAAGTAATACCTGAGAATGCAATTTCCTTTCAGACAAAGCTCTTCAGTTTTGGTGTACCCTCGCCTCCCCCCCTTCTTCTGCCCTTCCTTGATCTCCCCTACTCTCACAATCCCTCTCTCTTTCCAGGACCATCCATCTCAGATTCCAGTTTGTTCCCTAACCGAAACGGAACCATCGTCACGTTGACCTGGGAGGTCCCATCTATGTCTGTTGTTACAGGTACTAAAATTAAGGGAAGGTCTTAAATGTGCTAGTTTGACTTATCTTCACAAGATTATCTCTAAAGAAAAAACACAGAGACTCACCCTTCTTGTTTTGATATTCCATAACCCATGTGAATGAATACTGCTAGTGTGAAAACAGAAACTCAAAATAGAAGATAGGGGTGTAAATAATGTGTTGTCTGTGAAACTACCATCTACATGGAGCTGTGTTTTGGGCAAAATATTTTAAAGATGAAACTACTAGGAAAATCAAATGCCAGTTTTGGTTATGGCTAGTATTGGCTAGTTTATGTATATACAATTATCCGTTTCAGTAAGCTCTAACATTGATCACTGAAATCTTGAGAGATCTGCTAGAATTAACTGGTTTCCTCTGTGAATTGTGATGCTACAAAACAGAATTGTGTGTGATTTTGTTAAGGGTTCGACATCCAAATGAAAGGACCAGACCTTCTGAGCAAAAATCGCAATGCCCCTCTGACTAAAAGCAGCTCAAATGTATATCGCACAATCCAGCAGAAACCTGGTTCTGCCAGGAGTACGGATATCTTTTTCCTTGATCCCAAGCTGACCTACTGGTTTCAAGTCATCCCCAAAGCTCGTATGACCAATGGAGAGCCATCTAAGAGCCAACGAATTGGTCCAGGTATAGCACAGCTGTCTGTGTGAAACAGCTCTTATCTCATTGTTAGTGATGAGCCTACAGTAGTAACATTTTTGGTTACAGTCTGTCGTGTTGATGGCAGGTGAAGGACTGAGTGGTCCTGCTATTGCTGGCATTGCAGCAGGCATCCCCTGCAGCCTTCTGTTCCTTCTTTTGCTGACTGGCCTCATCTACCTTGGTGTCTACTGCATCAGGAACAAAAGTAGGTGAATTTAAATACTAAATATAAATCACATTTACACTTACTTATTTACTTTACTTACTGTGATGCTTTTCTTTGGACTTTTATGTTTGCTTTTCATAGGTCATCAGCCAAGATATCCAGTTCCCAGAGCAGTTGATAAGGTTTGAAATACACTAGACAGCATAATTAATGTGCAGGAATTTATCTGGATAGTTTTACTGCTAGTTACATTTAACTACTTACATTTATCCCACTGTACTCATATTGCATTTGTGTTGAAGCCTGGTTTATTTAAAAATCGTTGTTATATTTGATGATTACATTTTGTGCATGTCATGTCCTCCACAGGTAAAAAACAGCCAACCAAATATCACTGTGAATAACATGCTGAAAGGAGTGCTGAGGTCCCCCCCTGACTACAACAGGTTACAGAAGGTAGTCTTACTATAACAAATAAATAGATGTAGTGGGTAACTGTTTCCATTTATCACAGAAAATAAGGGTTTTCTCTTTTTTCTTTTAGACTCTCTCTGAAAAATCAGTGTCTCTGCCCGCATTTATCCCTCCTCCACCTACCAGAGTTGCTACAACCGTCTAAGTTAAAAAAAAAACAAAACCAAACATTTGTATTGATGTGGATGGTAACTCTTTTTGTATATTTATTTTGTATATTGTATATCTAAAATAAGGATCTCTATTCTTCTGTCATTCTGTGTGTCTGTTATATGTGAGAACTGAGATTTCCACTTGTAGATGGATGTGTGTGTGT